AAAAAAAAAAAAAATTTTATTTTAATGGGGTTTTGAGTCTCTTGAAGCCCAGGCTGACTTTGCCATCAAGCCTGACATCACTCTTGTGTGTTATACCTCTTACCATGTTCATCCCCAGACCTGCATCCCAGCTGCTCGGGTACCCATCTCCAAGGCCTCTCTCCCTCTCTCTTCAGGAGCCTCCATCTCTAACTGCCTCAGGTACCATCATATCAGCCTTTTGGTTTGTTTGTTTTGATTTTTTGATACAGGGCTTTTCTGTGTAGCTCTGGCTGTCCTGAAACTTGCTTTGTAGACCAGGCTGACCTCAAATTCAGAGATCCACCTTTCTCTGCCTTCCTGGGCTTAAAGGTGTGTGCCACCACCACCCGGCCATATCAGCCTTTAAGTGAAGTTCTCAGTCTGGTTCCTGCTCTTAGTGTTCATGCCACCGGTCTTCCTCCCGAGCCCGCCCCGCCGGCCTGAACCGGTGTAGTCAGCCCCTGTGTCATCTGCCCTGGCTGTTTGGGGCATGGTGGTGCACACCTGGGATCCTGTCACCCTGGAGGCTGGCTTGGGCTATACAGTAAGACTTCATCTCAAACAAAACAAAAACAAAGACCAATCCAGGTGGGGGGGTGGGGGGTTGGCACCATGGATATTCTAAGCTACTCTAGCGGCTGAGGTGGGAAGATTGTTTACTGGGGGCCAGGAGTTAGAGAGCAGCCTGGGCCACAGAAGGACTGGTCAAGAAAATCCGAAGCGGCTCTCCACCTACTCTGCAGTCTCTTGCAGTAAACTCATCCTTTGCACAGTCCACAGGACGCTGCTGCCGGATTTCCTTTGTTATTTATATGATCAGCACCATTATTGTCATTCAGACAGCAGCTGGCTATGTGTCATCTGGACTCATAGACTCTCCTAGGCTACGATGTCCCCCTGCCTCATCCCCTTGAGTAGCTGGGACTCTAGATGCTCCCACCACACCCAGCCTCTTATCATCTTCCTCCTTATCCCGCAGGGATTACCCTGACACTGTTGTTTATTTGTTCCTTTGTTCATCTGTCCGTCCATCCATCCATCCATCCATCCATCCATCCATCCAGCCAGCCAGCCAGCCAGCCAGTAGTGTATTAGCCTTGAACTGTTAGAACAAATGCCACAGACTGACTTGTATAAACAACAGGAATTGTTTGGTGGCTGGGTGGCTGGAGGTCAAGGTGCTGGCTTTGGTTTCTCTAGAGATTGTTGTTTCATCAGCTTCTTTTTAAAGATTATTTTAAAATTGCATTCATTATCCCAGTACTCAGGAGGTAGAAGCAGGCTGATCTCTGTGAGTTGAGGCCAGCCAGGTCTACAGAGGGAGCAGAAGGGAGTGGCGTGTAGAAGGGCAAAGTGGCTGGTGAGACTGTCACAAAAGTATTTATTTTGTGTGTGTTGTGTCGGGGAGGGGAGGTGAATGTGGAGGTCAGAGGACAGCTTTCTAGAGTCCGTTTTCTCCTTCTACCATGTGGATCTTTGGGATCGAACTCAGGCAGCCAGGCCTCCTGACAGTGACCTTTACCCGGTGAGGCATGATCTCCCCAGCACAGAGGTCATCTGCCTGCTGTGTCCTCAGCTGCTCTTCTCTCTGCATGCATGTCACCGTCCCCGAGTGTCTATCTGATCATAACAGCCATTCCCATCTTAATCAGAGCAGCTCTGGCTGCCTACAATCAGCCCTCAAGGTTGAACCTGTTCCCTCGTAGAAGAAGGGGGTGAGGGTCATCGGACTCTCACCTGGGAATCCAGCCACTTTGCCCTTCCTTCTTCACGCCAATCCCAGATGTGCAGTTCTCCATCCACACATGGTATCAGGCAGTCCTAGCATATAGAGATTACCTGAAGTTGGGGCTCTATCTTTGCATCTCTGGAGGAGTAGTGTCTCTGAAATCTAGGTCTTCTGGCCTTGGCCAAAATGCCATGTGTTTGGCATTTTTCTCCAGTCACTTTTTCCTTCAGCTAAGGTTACCAACTCCTCCATCCACCTGTGTGTGTGTGTGTGTGTGTGTGTGTGTGTGTGTGTGTGTGTGTGTAGGCCAGAGGACAACCTCAGATGTCATTCCTCAGGACATCTACCTGGTCCCCATTCCTTTTATTTTGTGCATGTATGAGCATGTGCATGCATGGCATGCTTGTGGGGGTCAGAAGATGATTTATGGGAGTCCAAGGCTCTTTCCTTTTCCATGTGCCTCTGGCCACTGAGCCCTCTTGCAGGCCCCACCCCAGGGACCTGCCTGTCTCTGCTTCTCCAGAGCTGGAATTACTGGCACTGCCCTCACACCCTTTTGTTCTTTTTTTAATTCTGGGAATTGAACATCCAATCCACACTCCTGCAAAGCAAGGGCTTACTGACAGCCATTTCCCCAGCCCACACCGGTCTCACTCTGTAGTTGAGGGTGGCCTGGAACTTGAGATTCTTCTGCCTCCACCTGACGGCTGGCTAGTCTGCACCTCCTGACTGCTGTCGGTGTGTGCCCCAAGCCTGGCTTAACCACAGTTTTCTGTTTCATCGTTCAGACTGTGGACAGCAGGAGGGCAGAGGTCTTGTTCACTGCTGAATCTTAGTGCCCCGCAGAGAGCACTATTTAGTGTAGACCACACAAACTGTAGAATTAATAAGTGCTCCTGGGGCTTCTTGGGGTAAAATGATGGCAGACATCCCTGCCTCCCACAAGAGGCCCGTGATCCAGTGGGAGGTGACAACTGTGGCTGGAGTGTCAGAAGAGGAGGCAAAGAGGTTTGCGGAGACTCTGGGAGGCACCAAAAGGAATCACTATTCCATTTGACAAGAGGCTGCAACTAACTCATTTTGCCTGATGCCCAAGGGCTCCGTCTTAGGAACAATCATCTCGCTCATAGGGGACAGGAATATGTATGTGGGCAGACAACTCTCAAATTAGGCCCTTTCATCCGCTGCAAGCTGAGTCTGCCCACAGGGAATAAGGGCTGCCCGGAGCCAGTGTACGGAACACAGGAGTAAATGGCCGCTGCCAGGACTGCAGGCTCTATGCAGGGTCATGTGACTCAGTAACTTCCGGCCCTCTCCCCTCCCTCCTCCCCTCCCCGGCTCTCGAGTCCCATTTCCTGGGCTGGGCCGACCACGCTGAGAGAGATTCAGGGGGTCCCGAGGCACCGAGGTGGCCGAGGTCTGAGAGCGGCCACGGGCGCATGGAGGGGACCCCGCAGGGGGCGGCGCCCGCCGCGGCGCTGGCCGCCGTGCTCAAGCACAGCTCGGCGCTGCCGCCCGAGAGCGCCCAGGTTCAAGGGTACGACTTCAACCGCGGCGTAGATTACCACGCACTTCTGGAGGCCTTCGGCACCACCGGCTTCCAGGCTACCAACTTCGGACGCGCGGTGCAGCAAGTCAACGCCATGGTGAGGCGCAGGGCTGCCCAGGAGCGGGACGGGAGGGCGGGACCGCCGCGCAGATCCGCGTGTGAGTGTCTGGACCGGGCGGAGTCCGGGAAGTTCGCGTTCTGGGATGGGGCGTGCCCTGATTCCCAACCCAGTGATGTCCCTCCCTCTACCTGAACAGGCTGCTTATCTCTCTGGTGGACGTGAGGCTGATGAGAGGAAACCCACACACACCTCTAAGAAGGTGGCTGGCACACTGAGCTCATTATTCCCCAGACTCACACTCCACTGTCTCTGGGAGCATGAATCCCTGGGTCAGGCCCCAAGGGGTTCTTAAGCACCACACCTAAGTGGTCCCAATAGTGTAGGGCATAGCTAGGATATTAGAGCCCTTCATTCCACAGATTGCCTAGCCTCTCTGTGTTTGACACTCCCCATTTTGGGGTTGGAAGAGCATTGTAGGAGGAGCTTAACGTGGGAGAGCCCTGGGTTCACTTTTCCCAGTGGAAGGAGACTTGAAGACGCTATGTGATTGGTTCCTAAAAGGGAACAAATCCTAAGTGACAGACCTGAACCGGGAAAGGGAGGCTAGGACCTGCACAGGGGTTGTGCTTTGTTTTTGAAGTAGACCTGTAGCCCTGAGTACAAACTGGAATCCAATCCGTCTGGGGGTCCTCTCCTGAGGTTTGGAGTCAGTGTGACTTTCCCGTGCCCTCATGCGCAGATTGAGAAGAAGCTGGAGCCGCTAGCACCAGATGAAGACCATCACGAAGACCTGACGCAGAGCCGCCGCCCACTCACAGGCTGCACCATTTTCTTAGGCTACACATCCAACCTAATCAGTTCGGGCATCCGTGAGACCATTCGCTATCTCGTGCAGCACAACATGGTGGGTCCGCGTTAGGTCTGTGGCTTCCACCTCCTTGGGCTGTTCATTTAAGAGAAATGAAGAGGGGTCTGAAGAGGCTTAGAGGTTAAGAGTATTTGTTGCTCTTGTGGAAGACCTGGGTTTGGTTCCCAGCACCCATGTGGTGCCTTACAAATGTCTGTAACTCCATTTCCAGGGATGTAGGCAAAACACCGGTACACATAAAAAAATTAAAAAAAAAAAAAAAGTAATTTTAAAAAAGGATGTGAGGAGATGGATTTTTTTTTTTCCCCTCTAGACAGGGTTTCTTTGTGTAGCTTTGCGCCTTTCCTGGAACTCATAGAGATCCGCCTGACTCTGCCTCCTGAGTGCTGGGATTAAAGGCGTGCGCCACCACCGCCAGCTGAGGAGATGGATTTTTGTTTTTGGACTATGCCTTATGCCTTAGCCTCCAGAGTGCTGAGATCACAGGAGCGTGTGCTTTTTCTGGCTATGGGTCTGCTTTAAGCAGAGGAACAGGCTTGAGTTGGTTTTGTTGCATGCTTTGGGTCGGGATGAGCTCGGGCTGATGTTAGGAGTGTTGCTTAGAACGAGGGTCAGTGTTGCCTGTGATTACAGGTGGATGTACTGGTGACCACTGCTGGAGGCGTGGAAGAAGACCTCATCAAGTGCCTGGCACCCACATATCTTGGCGAGTTCAGCCTCAGTGGGAAGGAGCTCCGAGAGAATGGGATCAACAGGTGGGGCCCTGAGCAGTGGGGGCAGGGGAGCTGGGCTGAGAGTCTTGGTGACTGATGCCCAGGAGCCTCCCATCTCCAGGATTGGGAACCTGCTGGTTCCAAACGATAATTACTGCAAATTTGAGGACTGGCTCATGCCCATTCTGGACCAGATGGTGCTGGAGCAGAACACAGAGGTAGGTCTGGAAGAGTTCTGGAGGGCCTGCATGGTGGATGGAGTCAGAAGACATACGGGCTAATGCTGATGTTCTCTTCCTTGTAGGGTGTGAAGTGGACACCTTCCAAGATGATCTCCCGGCTCGGCAAGGAGATTAACAACCCAGAGTCTGTGTATTATTGGGCCCATAAGGTGGGTTGGTGGGGACGACGCTCTTAGGCTTTGGCATGTGCTGACTTGTTTTGTCTTTGCAGCCACCTGGGAGTCTCTATAATTATTCTTAGTCTTCCCAGACTTAGATGGGGAGTGAAAACACAGAGAGGCTAGGCAGTCTGTAGAATGAAGGGCTCTAATATCCTAGCTATGCCCTACACTATTGGGACCACTTAGGTGTGGTGCTTAAGAACCCCTTGGGGCCTGACCCAGGGATTCATGCTCCCAGAGACAGTGGAGTGTGAGTCTGGGGAATAATGAGCTCAGTGTGCCAGACACCTTCTTAGAGGTGTGTGTGGGTTTCCTCTCATCAGCCTCACGTCCACCAGAGAGATAAGCAGCCTGTTCAGGTAGAGGGAGGGACATCACTGGGTTGGGAATCAGAGTTTTTCTGGGCTATGAGCTGTAGCTGCTAACTGGTCCTGTCTCCACACCAGAACCACATTCCTGTGCTGAGTCCTGCACTCACAGATGGCTCACTGGGTGACATGATCTTCTTCCATTCCTACAAAAACCCAGGCTTAGTTCTGGACATTGTTGAAGGTGAGGTGCTAAGACCTTGGGAGGGAGGGAGAAGGCCCACTGAGACCAGTGCCTGACCTCAGCCCTCTCTCTCAGACCTGAGACTCATCAACATGCAGGCCATTTTTGCCAAGCGCTCTGGCATGATCATCCTGGGTGGAGGTATGGTCAAGCACCACATCGCCAACGCTAACCTTATGGTGAGTGGGGTGGCCCCTGGCAGGTGTCTCTATCGAAGACATGGCATGCTAGGCGTGGACTACAGCAGTGAACTAGATGGGCCGGATTCTCTGTCCTCTTTGGAGTGAGGTTGGCGTGAGGCGTTCAGACAGCAATGAGTGACAGGCACGCTGTGGCAGTGACTCTAAGGACATAAGTAATGTCAGGCAGGCAGGCAGGGGACTTTAGTACCAGCTACTTGGGAGACTGAGGCAGGAGGATGGCTTGTACGTAGCTCAAGGCCAATCTGGAATGCTATAATGTGAAAGGAGTGCTGTTTAATAAAGGGAGTGTAGGAAAAGGCTTCTGAGAAATGTGACCTTGCAGACATTTTCAGGAGGCTCCTCCCACAGGCCTTATGGTTATGTTATGGGAAGAGCATTCCCAGTGAGTGAACAGCCAGCACACAGGCCCCGAGCACCTGAAGTAGCCAAGGAACAGAGTGGAGTGAAGACCGGGAGGGTAGGCTGCAGAGCTAGCTGGGCCTGTGGAACAGAAGAAGGAAGTGAGGACAGGACTCGGGCTTGCAGAGGCCGCTGCTGGCCGTGGGTGTGAGTGACGGGGCCGTGGGAACAGGCGGTTTGATCTGCAGATGGTTGGTTGCAGCTCCTGCTGAGCACAGGGTGTGGACTATGGCTCAGCTACCCTTTTTCATGTGAGACCGGCCTCTGTTGCGCAGGCTGGTCTGGACTCCCTTGGATCAAGGATCTTCTCGCCTTGCCATGCCCGGGAGCTGGAGCCACAAGTCTGTGTCAGCACAGCTGGCTCAGATGTCCCTTAACCAACATGCTTGGTAACACCAGTGTATTGGATTGGTGTTTTGTTGTTTTATATTTAAAAATTTAGATTTACATACACATTTTGGGTCAGAAACCTAGAAGGAAAAACATGTCCAGGATTTAAATGTGAATGGCATATAGCTTGAAGGTAATTTCATACACTTTTTAAAAGTTTTATTTATTTATTTATTTTTTAAAGATTTATTTATTTATTATGTATACAGAAGAGGGTGCCAGATTTTATTACAGGTGGTTGTGAGCCACCATGTGGGTGCTGGGAATTGAACTCAGGACCTCTGGAAGAGCAGTCGGTGCTCTTAACCTCTGAGCCATCTCTCCAACCCAAAAATTTTATTTTTTAATCAGGAGCTGGAGTTACACATGGTTGTGAGCCACTTGACGTGAATGTGGGAATTGAATTCAGGTCCTCTGTCAGAGCATGAAGTACTCCTAATTGCTGAGCCATCTCTCCAGCCCTATATACACTGTTCTCACTTGGCCTGTGGTTTACCTGACTTGTCACATGGTGCTTAGAAGTGGTACATTTTGGCTTATGGAGGGATAGCTTATACCCAGAGGTGGTTGTGTTGGAAACATGGACCATCTCACCTGCACAGTAACTTCAGGCACTAATGGGCCCTTCCTAGAAGCTCTCAAGGCCTTCCACTGTGTCATACCCCAGCTTCCTTGGCTCTGGCATCTGCCTATGGCTTCTGACCAGGCTCTCCTCTGCCCACAGCGGAATGGGGCTGACTACGCTGTCTATATCAACACAGCCCAGGAGTTTGATGGTTCAGACTCAGGAGCCCGGCCAGATGAGGCTGTCTCTTGGGGCAAGATCCGGGTGGATGCACAGCCAGTAAAGGTAGAAGCTGCTGCCTACGGTGAGTCCATGGGCTGTGGCTGTAGGTCCCATGGCTCACCCAGGTTCTCTACAGGTCTATGCTGATGCTTCTCTGGTCTTCCCCCTGCTGGTGGCTAAGACATTTGCCCAAAAGGCAGACGCCTTCACAGCTGAGAAGAATGAGGACTAAGCTAAGAAGATTGGTAAAGACTGGGGCTCTTGCCATGCCTTTATTTATTAACTTTACACACCAGCCCCTCCCTGGGCCCCCCCACTCCTTAGTCAGCAGCGTCTCTAGAATAAATGGTCTTTGTTGGATCTTCTGAGTTTGTCTGGGTCCTTTGGCTTGGTGTCAGATCCCTAAGCCTCAGCTTGCTCCACCCTCTGCCTCATAGGTCTCTTCTCGCCAGTACTGGATGCTGCCCCCCATGGCTGTCAGCAGGCAGGGTTCCATGGGATGGTAAGCCAGTGACTGTACCACACTAGAACCCACGGGCAGGGCCAGTGCCAGGGCACCCTAAGGAATGAATGGTGGGGAACAATTACTAGTGATGAGGCTGTCTCCTTGAGGTCCAGCCTGAAGTCCTCAGTCACCTCTTTCCTGACTTCTTTTGGTGGTGCTGAGAATGTTAGGCAAATCTTGCCACTGAGCCACACCCTCAGCCCAAAGACTCCTAGCATTGGCCATAGAAAGGCCCTGGCCCAGCCAGGCGGTGGTGGCACACACCCTTAATCCCAGCACTACGGAGGCAGAGCCAGATGGGTCTCTGTGAGTTCAAGGCCAGCCTGGTCTATAGAGTGAGCTCTAGGACAGGCACCAAAACTACACAGAGAAAAAAACCCTGTCTCGAAAAACAAACAAACAAACAAAAAAAAAAGAAGAGAAAAAAGGCCCTGGCCCAGTCTTCCTTGTGACCCACCTGAATGTTTCCTTTTTGGGATACTAGGGATGGAACTGCAGGCTCTTATATGCTAGGCAAGTGTTTAACACTGTTCCATTACTGGCCTGTAATGGCTTCTAAGATACTACAGATATCACCTGGCCAAACTGCACCCCTCTGGAGCTCTACTTCCAGGTGCTAAGTAACTTGGGAGTTTCTTATACCTCCCCCCCCCCTTTTTTTTTTTTTTTTTTTTTTTAAACAAAGGGCTCTGTAGTTCAGGCTGGCCTCAAACTTGCAGTAAACCCTTTTTAAAAAATTTAAAAAAATTTTTTGAGACAAGATTTCTCTGTATAGTTCTGGCTCTCCTGGAACTTGCTCTGTAGACCAGGCTAGCCTTGAACTCACAGAGATCATCTGCCTCTGCTTCCCAAGTGCTGGGATTAAAGGTGTGCGCCACCAATGCCTGGCTCAGTAAATCCTTCTTTATTTGCAATATAGTGTTGGGATTACAGGCTGGCTTGGAATTTAGTGTCTTCCTGTCATAGCCTCCCCAGTTGCCGGGACTACATGCATGTACTACATGCCCAACCTTCACTCTCCTCTCAGGGACCTCCGACACTGTCTTTAGACTCTAGAGGCACCTGCTCCAGACACGTCTTGTTCCAAGTTTCACTGTTCCTGACATTCTGAGCACTACTTGTCAGACCCCATGACTGTCACTTCCCTTGTCAGCCCTCAGTTACGATACTATAGTTCCTAACCTAGTTCTTTGGACTCAGCAATATCCTTTCGTGTGCCCTTCAAGGTGAATTTAGTCAGGAGCCTCAGAAGTTGACAGACCATTCCTGCTACCTTAGTTCCCAAAGCAGGAGCTGGTCTCCAGGGTCCCCTAGTTTTCCCAATCCTCTTACCAAGCTTAATTCTGCTGACTAGGCTCCAGCACTGATGTCTCCTTCCTGGAGGCCCTAGGACCCTGATCTCACTAAGCCAGTGGTCTGTCTCTCACCTGGGGCATGTCAGGATCCGGGGGTTAAAGCCATATGAAACCCACATGCAGATCAGATTTCCTCAGGGACGCAGGCTTGGTGGCGGCACTGGCTCCTCGCACTCAGGTTTGTTTCAGTAGCTTACTCAGCCTGGCATTTACAGCCCTGTCTGCCCTGGAACCGGCTTTAGCCACCACCCTCTCCAAGTCCTTTAGCATATGCTGCGTCCTTTCTTGAAATACCCTTCCTGCTTTCCTTCCTCCCTCCTTCAGCTTGGGAGGCTGAGGCAGGAGGAATTCACCCCTACCCCTACCCCCCCTCCAGAGGTCCCTGCTCAAATACCCAACACCACTGCTCTTTTCAGGCCTGGGAGTGGCTGAGGTAAACACATAGCTGATGCCCTGGCAAGGAGCGAAAGGTGGCGGCTCACCTCTACCAGGTCCCAGAAGAACACCTTCCCATCCTCAGAGCAGCTGACCACGTGTGTGTCACGCTCACTCAGGCAGCAGTCCAGCTTGTACTTCTGGTTCTTATGGCCAACATACCTAGCAGTGGGGTGGGTAGAATGGGGGGCTTGTTCCTCCTAGCCTCAGAAGTGGGGTGATGGGGAAAGGCCAACAATGGAGACTCACTCGCCCAGCAGCTCCCCTGTGTCTTTATCTAGAAGCCTCAAAGTTGAGTCCAGGCTGGATATCAGAGTGCACTGCCCATCCCGGCTGAAGCAGGTGCAGGTGATGGGGCCTGGGAGAGAGCATGGCAGGCAGGTGAATCTGGGTACTCTTGCCTGCCTCATCACCTGCCTTGACTGTCCCGCTGGGCCCCGGGGCCACACTCACTGCCCACGTAGTCTGAGAAGACCTGCCCCATCCTTAGGTCATAGCGCCTCACGCGGCCATCCACAGAGCTGCAAGAAAGAGGAGAGCCAGCCTGAAGCATTGCAACCTTTTGCTCCAGGGGCAGCCTGTGTCCCCATGCAATCCTGGTCATCTAGAAAAGTGTGAGCAAGGAAAAGATGCTCTGCTTTGTGACTCAGGTCCAGGGGACAACTTGGTCCCACTCAGAGACCATGCCCTCTTGTCCAAACCCCAGAGCTCTTCACATCCTGACTGGCACAACAGTCAACCCCGTCTCTGGGTTCTCTATCTGCACATTTGACCAACTCCAGCTCAAGAATATATTTTAAGGTTATTATTATCTGTATCTGTCTATCTATCTATTTATCTTTCAAGACGGGTTCTCTGTATAGCCCTAGATGTCCTGGAACTCACTCTGTAGACCATGCTGGCCTGTTAGCATACCCAAGGGCCTGAGTTCTATCCTTTGCACAGCAAGCAAACCAAAACCATGTATCAGAATAGTACAGGTTCTATGCAAGCTATTTTATAGAGGACTGGAGCAGCCTAAATGTGTTCTCCCTGGTCGACCCTGAAAGCAGCAGATACCAAAGCAGCGGTGTTCTCAGGGTGTGACTCCTTCCCCACCCCCAGCACCACTACCATCTTATATCTGTGAAGGTTTTGCCTGTGACCTCCAATCCTTAACGCCTGAGCCCACCAGGCATCGTCCACCCTTTTTTGAGACAGGGTCTCCTGGCTGGCCTCCTTTTACTGTATGACCTTACTCATGTGCTGGGGTCTGTCTCTTCCACCTGAGTGCTGAAGTCAGAGGTGTGTGCCACCACTGCCCAGCTCTAGACAGGCTGGCCTTTAACTCTTGGTCCCCTGCCCTGCCTGATGCTGCCTTGATGCTGGGGAGATGTATGTTACCATGCCTACCATAGTTAGCACTTTGTAATTTTTTGAGACAGGGTTTCTCTATGAAGCCCTGGCTGGCCTAGAACTTGTTATTAGAACAGATTGGCCTGGAACTCAAAAGATCCTCATCTCTGCCTTTCAAGCACTGGGATTAAAGGCATGGGCCACTATGTCTGGCTCATGGTTGCATTTATTTATATAAAATTTTATTAATTTTTTGGATTTATTTTTATCTCATATATGACTATTTTGTCTGCGTTATGTATGTATGTGTACCATGTGTGTGTCTGGTTCCCTGGGGAGGCCAAAAGAGGATGTTGGATTCCCTAGAACTGGAGTTAGAGATGATTGTGAGCCACTATGTAGATACTGGGAATTAAACCCCGTTCTCTGCAAGAGCAACAAGTGCTCTAAACCGCTGAACTATGTTTCCAGCCCTGTAGTACACTTGGTCCTGTCCTATGAGACAGGACTGGGAACTGCAGCTCTCTGTGGAAAAGCCTGCACAGCTTCTCCCATCGAGGGAGGAGCCTGTGCTGAACAAGGGAGATCTAGGGAGGTCCAAGCAGGCAACATCAGAAGAGGGGCCTGAAGATGAGAGAAGGCAGCCAGGTGTAGGCCAAGGAGAGGCGTGAAGTGTAGACCAGCACAGGAGGCCCCAATAAAGGTCCCTATCACCAAACTGAAATTAAGTGCTATCTTAGGTCAGAGAGACGGCTCATCAGGGGACAGAGCAAGACTGATGGTCCAGGTTTGACCTCTGGAACCCACCCACATAATAACTGGATGAGGGAGCAGGCATCTAAAATTCCAGCAATCCTATTGGGAAAATGGGAGGTGGAGACAAGAATTAAAGTTAAGGGCCAGCTAGCCTGGAGTATATAGCATGGAGAAACAGCAAGAAAGACCTGCCTCGCCGGGCGTTGGTGGCGCACGCCTTTAATCCCAGCACTTGGGAGGCAGAGCCAGGCGGATCTCTGTGAGTTC